GAACTGAGCCAAGAAGCTAAGCTCTGCCCTTCCAGGCTGTGCAGCTGCAAGGCATAGCGCAAAGCGTACCTAGGTCGAGTGGACGGCAAGGCGCTCAGGAGTGGAACTCTGACACCCCTGTACCCTCTACCATCTCTATACCCACGTGACTGCGCAGGAGACAGTGAAGATTGGTAAAGGTTTACTTCAGATTCGGGTTCCCCTCAAAACAACACCAACCTGAAACTGCGAACTGAAACTGCGAGCCAAACATGGTTTTGGATGAACATTCGGGTCTGCCTTTGCCGGCATGACCCCCAAAGACGTGCACCAAAGCCAGTAAGCCGCATGAACCAAAGCTGAACTCGCTTGATCGTCGCCGGCGTCGCAGTTGTCCCAGTACTGGCTGTCGCAATAGCAGTGGCTGGTTGTGGCGGTAGCAACAGCAGTAGCAGAAGCTAGGGCAGCAGTCGTCGTTGTCGTCGTCGTGTTAGTGTAGTAGTAGCAGCAGCAGCAAGCAGTTGTTGTTCTATGTACTAGGTACCAGTACTAGTACTGGTGCCAGGACAAGCAGTATTACAAGTTCTAGTACCAGCCCTAGTACTACCACGTGCACTAGTACCAGTACCACCAGTTATCCTACAAGGTGACAGGTTTGTGCTCACTAGTACAAGCAGCTACTTGCAAGCATCGTGCTATCAAGTAGTATCAGTGGCCTTGTGTTCACTTCTGTATAGTGCCCTTGCTAGCTGTTCCGGTTCAGTCAGTTCCACCACGTTTCTGCCCACCTTTTTCGGTGAAATCCGAAAGCCGGGGCACTGGTGGTTCACCGTTGAAGCCTCGGGCTCTCCAAGGTGCGCATAGGCGAGCCTGGAAGCGATGAGGGTCTCCAGGGTCCAGTACTCCACTAGCGCTACACACCTACACAGCACAAACCAACTCCCAGAACATCGTCTGTGCCGTGGCATGCTCCGGCATTGCATGACCATTTTCGATGCTTGTCGGTGATGCTTTGGCGCACAGGGTATAGGGAATATTGAGGCAGAGGAAGATGTTGGGTTGGCCTGAGGCTCAAGGGTCAAGAAGAGGCCCCTTTTCCGGACCCCTAGCACCGCAATTCCTTCTGATGCAACATCTGACTATCTCAGTCTGTCCAACTGGCGGTTTTGTGAAGTAATGCATTACTACCATCTTTAATCTTCCTGTCACCTATTACTGCTCTGCTTCCTGTTGTTACTACTCGTGATGATACTGTCCTGTGAGCCCCCGAGCCGCTGACCCCATGTTCAGGTGCGCGACGAACTTTCCAATGCTGTCCGAGTTTTCGCGATGCCTGTCAGTTTACAAGCTTGCGTCTGCGACGCGGGGTTGACAAAACGAACTGGCACCTAATGAAACTCTGCATGGTCGCTGGCTGGGCTTTGAGTTTAAGCATTGTGTAGGTTTGAACCTCCAAACATAGCTCTGCAGTCTGTGTTTTGTCGGGTTCTGAAGCTGCCCTTTGGCCGCTCCTCAATCGCCCTGGCCGTGTTCTGCTTCCAGGCACTCGGTCTGTTCCGTTAAAACCCCGCTCGGAAAGCCAAACTTGCAAGTTGAAAACTTCACCTCGACCCCAACTCAGGGCAGCCTAGACGCCTAGACAGGAGGATCCGGGCATGATCAGTTTCTGCGGACGGATGACTTGCCCGCCTTTTGATACACCAGCCAACTAGCACCGTACTCTTCTTGGTGCTGTTGTCGCTCGTTCGAGCACTATTTCTTACCAGTCTCACTCTAGTACTGCGGCTTTTCTTGCAGTCTTTGCTCTTGTTGCGCATCTCATCTTCTATCACTCCCAGGTTCAAGTGGCATGTGCTATTGACACTGTTGTGGTGATGCGGAGTGTGTGTTCTTATTGCTGTATTTTGTATTGCTGCTGCATCTGCTCCAAACACAAAGAGCGTCCAACTGCAGCTTAAGCGGAAGCTCATGCCAGGATATTTCAGGAGTTTCAGGCTTTACCAGTTGGCCTAAACAACCTGAATTCGCGGGGTTTGTGATTCCACTTAGGCTTCAAGGCAACAAAGTCCATTTCATGGAGCTTGAACCCTGGGCTGCTAACCTGAAACCAAAACTCTGAAAGTTCGAGATAGGTGGCCACTCTCCTGACTAGTAAAAGCCTACAGGACACAGGGGTGGATTACAAGAAAAGCGCCGTCAAACTCAGTGTCAAAGGATCTTGGAAGTTGCGGAAGATTCTCGGTAAACGCCTTGCAGCCTCAGGTCCTGCAAAGGAGTTTGGGCTCGGAAACCCTGAACCCCAAGAGCCCTCAGCGGACCTGTTGTGGTAGTAAATGGCCTTCCGGAGAAGGTCAGGCCTGTTCGCCGCAGGGCAGCTCCAGCGACAGCTACGGAACGTAAGCTTAGAGGAGGACCATCAAGCATGTGATATCACAGGGGCCAGCGGTGTTAGAGGAAGAGTGTTGCCAATTAGGTAGTCAAGCTTGTCCAGCACCATGACTTTCCAATCTGTAGACAGTGAAGTCCGCAATCCTCCGCTCTTTCCTAGAGGCCGAGACTTGAACTGCGTGCCCCGGGCCTGATGTTGGTGCGCGCAGGAGGAGGCCTTTGCTGCCATATGAAGTTGCGATGCTTATCATCTCCAACGTGGCATGCTGTAGTGATCTATGACAAGACCCAGAGAACACACATCAGTTTTTCAGCACAAACGAAGCTGTGAAGTTGTGGAACCCAAGCTCTTAGTGCCTTGTGCTTGGCGGTCCTACAATCCGTATCTAGAACCAAAGAAGCAAGCTTTGAATAGCTCGTTCAGTGCATCGCTTCCATCTGCGTGGAGGGCTGGGGAATCCTTATGCATCCTGGGCTGACAGGAAAGGACTGGTTTGGGAACTGATTAATATCATGAACCACACAGTTCATCATACTATGCTCATGCTGCCGAATACTATTCGGTATATATACCTGACCTGGACGAACACTGCAATATGACCTGCGTGAGTTCGACATCTGTGACAGCAATGAGACTCAACGCGAAGAGCTTCCCGAAGGCTTCACATATTCGCAGTTTAGTCTCCGGGTTTGTCATTCGGCTTTACGGATTTCAATTTCATTTCATCGAAGTGCCACCCTGAATGATCGAAGTGAAGCACCATGATCTGAAGCCCGAGGTGCCCCAGCGATGCCAGCGCCGGCGAAGGAGAGGCTGGGCCTTACCGCACTTGGCTCCAGAGCGTTTGAATAGTTTTCCGTCGCAGAAGGTTTGAGGTTTGGGCCGCTGCCACCCGTAATTCATGGTTTGGGTATGCGAAGACGAAATCTTCTGGGGATGATGGGTATTCGCCCCAGTACAGTACGGTCTGTAGTATTACTCTCATCAGTATCACGATGATGCTGATGATGTGGTTGATGTTGATGACGATGATTGGTGGCGGTGGCGGCATTGACAAGAGCCTATAGTGCAAGTGGAGCATGAGATTCATCGACTTTCGGATTGCAAAACTCCGTCATTGCAGGGACTGGTGGATAGGCAGTCCTCTGAAGTGGATGATAACACAGGATGCAGAAAAAGAGGGGGGTGGCATTATCTCACCTCCTCGAGGCTCGAAGCTCGCAACTGAGGACAGGTCTTTTGCCAGCGTTCTCACCCTCTGCAGAAGCCTCACCTGCACGTGATCAGTCCAGGGAGGCATGTGGACGATGCAGCATGTACAAGATGTTGAAGCTTTCGGGTTCGGGGGCAACTTCTTCGAACATGCGCCCACCATCGTTCACTTGCTCGCACAGGGCATGAGGGTGAGCTGGTACCGAAGTGCTCAAGCCGGGGCTGACCGCTCACAGCTCCGGTCTTGTCCTTCCTATTCTAGTACTATTGCTTCCAAACCTAGGAACAAAGATGTTCGGTAAGTTCACGCCCCAATGCCTTTGTGGGCACCAATTCCCAATAGCTGGTAGTCCACCTGCAAGGGTTGGGTCTCTGAGAATTCAGGAGCAAGGATTTCAAATTCAATCTTCCAGGGCTAAATTAAAGGTCCAAGAAACTAAGAGCCTGCAAGGTTCAGCTTCCGGTTTCCGCAGATACAAGTTAGGAAGGATGCGGGCTAAAATCAGCAGTCCCATAGAACAGCAATTCTGTGCAGATCTGAAGCCTGAAAGCCCAGACACTAGACAAGTGGGAGAAGGCCAGCACAGGAACCACTGACAAAGCAAGCAGAGCTGCAACCAGCAATGCCAGCAGCAGCAGGCGAAGCAGTGGCAACAACGTCGGTCACCGGCATCACTGTGAAACTAACAACACGGCAGGTGAGAACAGCAAGATAACTTACAGTAAGGAGCGCAACTCCGCGAACATGAGACGAGGAGCGACAACAGTGATAGGATCGAGGAGACTTGCTTCGGTGCTTGGACAGTTTTCTGTACTTACAGAATAAGAGCAAATACCTAGAGTCCGTGCAAATCGTCATCGTAAGGTTAACGGATGAGCCAGGGGACTCCGATGCAGTGGTAGCCAAGAGCTCCGCCCTGGCTGTCGCTACACTCCTGTTGGAACAGTCGTTGTTGTTTGAGGCGTTGTGCTGTTGAGGTTGCAGAGCTTGGAGTTTGGGGGGGTCGCTTCTTGATTTTCGTCACTCTGGCTTCATGCGTGAGCCTCCGAGTTGGGGTGTCGGATCCAGGATGACAGCAGCAACAGCGGCAGTAGCATGAGCAGCAGCAACAACAACAACAAGAGGAACAACAGCAGCAGCAGCAGCCGCCACAATAAAAACCAACCCCCGCAAACACCGCAAAAGTTTCGACAGCCACGACAATGCTCACAACTGTTCTTAATGTGCAGAGAGAAGTGCGATGTAAGTCAGCCGTGCCTACTCAATGCAGGACGCGGGACTTGGATGAAGGCACGACGCCCGAGAGCAAACTAGCCGCCTCCAAACCCCCAGACCACAAAACACGAACTCAGAATCCGTAAGGTATCTAGAACATAGCTTGAAACATGCTCTTTGGCGGAGGAAGGCATCCCACGAGATTCAATTCAGCAGCTCCTTGCAAACGCGCAGGAACTGAGTGTAGGCGTCGATGGCCTGTTCACGGCAGTCCAGCTCGAGGAAGCCAGTGTGGCTTCTCGCAGAACGACGCGTGAACCAAACCAAACCGTACAGTTGAAATGATATTGCAATGCAGCAAAGATCGGCCTTCAACTTATGGGGCTTCGCCGGAGTTAGGGCGACAGCTCCGGCACCCTTTCCAACAGGCGCTACAATGCATGACATAACAAAAACATCTAAGTATATACATACCTGCTGCAACAGAATACATCAAGACATGAAGATATTGGTATCTGAGAATACGTAGCAAGACAAAAGTACAGAAACATAACGATCCGGCGATGGACCTGCTTCGCGAAGCCAATATCGGCTTCTGCTTAAGGTCTTTGGGTAGGTTGTAACGGCGGCTAGAATTTGCTGACCAGTTTGGGGAGGGAACCGGCTGCAGGAAGGGAGTAGTGATAAAGTTAATGGACCAGAAGCAGCAGCAGAAGCAGCAGCGTAGTAGTAGTAGTAGTAGTAGTAGTAGTAGTAGTAGTAGTAGTAGTAGTAGTAGTAGTAGTAGTAGTAGTAGTAGTAGTAGTAGTAGTATAGTAGTATAGTAGTAGTAGTAGTAGTAGTAGTAGTAGTAGTAGTAGTAGTAATAGTAGTAGTAGTAGTAGTAGTAGTAGTAGTAGTAGTAGTAGTAGTAGTAGAAATACAAGTAGTAGTAGTAGTAGTAGTAGTAGTAGTAGAAGAAGAAGTAGTAGTAGTAGTAGTAGTAGTAGGAGTAGTAGTAGTAGTAGTAGTAGTAGTAGTAGTAGTAGTAGTATGAGTAGTAGAGGTAGTAGTAGTAGTAGTAGTAGTAGTAGTAGTAGTAGTAGTAGTAGTAGCAGGAGTAGTAGTAGTAGAGGTAGTAGTAGTAGTAGTAGTAGTAGTAGTAGTAGTAGTAGTAGTAGTAGTAGTAGTAGCAGTGGTAGTAGCAGTAGCAGTAGCAGTAGTAGTGGCAGCAGCAGTATTAAACAGTAGGAGGGAGAGGCAGTCTGAGAAGGTAGAGGAGGCGGCGGAGGTGGAGGAGGAGGACCATGATTGCAACGAGGCGGAGGAGGATATTCATGATGACGGCGATCATGATTATTGTCCAAAGCTGTGCAAGCACGCTGCTGTGCCCAATCCCTGATAAACTCAAGTCCAGAAAAGAAGTTCAGCAGGATCTCTCTCTCTCTCTCTCGCTCTCTCTTTTCCCTCCTCTTAACTATATAATATCACATACACTGATATTACTCGCAAATACACAAACTAAAATCTCACCCACTTAAGTTGATGTACGCGCACACTCACACAAGGCCGTACTCCTCCAACCTTCTGGTACTGGCCCAAGTTGTCCCGAAGGACGCCGAGCCTGAGGCGCCCCAAAGCGGGGGAGCTGGTGATTCTTGGCTACGGCTTAGGGCCCTTAGCAATTCCCTTAAAGGAGTCCTTCAAAGGGTTCCTGTAAGGGATTTTAAGCACCGATACTGAATAATTAGAATAGGGTGTTGGGGGTTATTTTGCGCTATCCACAGTGCGATATACCCCCCCCAACCCTATTAATTATAAGTATTCAGCCTACATTACATACGGCTTGGGGCTTGGCTCCAAAATCTGTACCAGATGCAGCCAACACCAGCGAAAGACCTGACCATTAAGGACTTATCCGACACCTGCGCCCCACACGAAAGAGCCAGGAGAGCTCAACATCAAGGGATGGCACGCAAGATCTGCGGGTGATCACGAATCCTCGTGCTCTCAATGTCTGACATAGCCAAAGCCGAAGCGCCATCCTAAACGCTACCCTTCGTATGTTCTTCAGACACACAAACTCCGAGCCTAAACACGAATCTACCAGGCAGCGAGAAGTGAGCGCGGCCCTCTTCACGCAACTTCGACGCCCGCCGGCATGCAAAGGTCAACATCTCGAAGTCCTTGGAATTCGGTCGAGGTTTCAGGGGTTTGGTGGGCTCATGGGCTGTCAGCTTTCGGGCAAAACAGTCTGGGCTTGAAAAGGCTCAGGGCTGTAGAGCACTGCTTCAGTCTTCTTGTTACACGGCCCAGGAGCTTGGATTCTCGCGGTTTATTCGCCAAACCCATACTCGCCCCCGGATTGAGCTTGAACGCAAAACCGCGAGCACAGACGCTGTCACTGTATATCCTAGCGCCAGCCCCACAGGGACAATCACCGAACTTCAATAAGGAAGCGGGGCCGATTGCAGATCCGAATCCTGATCGATGTGCACTTTCATGCCTTTACGGCGCCGAGAGGCCTTCATCTTTCTCAGGGTTACCGTGCGTTCCTCTGGAAGCAGCGGCTCACCATCGGGACGCCGCGCAGGCGTGTTCAAGTAGCTGGGCAGCTCTATCCTCGCTGGAAGTCTGAGAACTGGTAGGACGTGGTGGCACAACGGGGTTCATGAGTATACAAAAGGTCAGTCGCAAGAAGTAGGAAGCCGCCCAGGGAGTCGCCTTCGAGTCCTACGGCTACTCCTTGCGCATTGACCTTGATCTGACGAAATCAGATTTCAGGACTTGGCTTTCTGATCAGACTGCGAAATCATCCGAATTAGCAGCCAACCTCCTTGTCCCGGCGTCAAAGCTGTTTCCGAATCCTCAAACCGTAGGTCCTCTGCGGCTGGAGCATGCCAGGTGGTCGCTGAGTGACGCCGGCACCGACCGCAGCAGTGCTGGTGCTGGCTGCGACCTTCTGCAAAGGTTGTCAAGCAAAGCGATGGGGCAAGTTGTAGGTGAAGCCACTTGTAGGTGCAGGTGCGTGTCTTGCGTTTCTGCGGTATTCGTGTCCTCTGGTGTTTGTCTGTGTGCGTGCCCGCAGGATTTGTGTGTGGACGTGTGTTCGCAGGCACGCGCGGAATGGGTGATGGCATGATGAAAGTAATGGTGATGTTTCGGCTGCCAACGGTGACAACAAGCAGGACGATGATGATTTTGATCACCTCTTTCATATGATGGATTTTGATTACTTTAAGTGGGGAAGATGACAATCATGATGACTCTGGCGACAACTTTGATTCATTACACTGTTACTTGTAATATTACTCCATACTGTATGGCCTCGAAGATCGACAACTTTCTAGGAAGCGCTGTGATGGACACAGAAGCCTGCTAACCGATCGCGTAATGGGCATGCTTTAAGAGCTCGGGGTATTCAGAGTCAGGCAATCTCCGTTGTTCTGCTGGGGCACAAAGTCCAAGACGGCGCTACTTGCCCCCCGACTGACCCGACAACCCAAATAAAGAACTGAACCTCAAAAATCCGGAGCCTCGAAGCTTTTGTGCCCCGCGCGCCTTGTCGGCATGGTCGTGGGGCTTAAGTCCCCGGCTGCTGAGTTGGCCACCCCGCCCAGGACCTTGCTTGAGGGAACAGAGAAAATTTTGGCTATAAGGCTTACCAGAAATGCTTGCAAGATAAGAGTTTGCGATTGAACAACGTGCATGGCCTAAGCTTCTCCGTCAACGAGCATGTTGGCATAGATGTCTTGGGACGAGGTATTGTTAAAAGATGTAAGCACAACTGGATGTGACCAGCCCTTGCAACGCTAGCAGCCCACGACACGAGGGAAGTGTTAGGGCCCCCCAAGCAGGATTCCCAACAGAGCGAGAACTGTGGCAGCCAAGACGGAGCAGCAATGGAGCAACAACATCGTGCTTCCATTGCATTGAAAGCTCACCTAGTCTAACATGATTTTTGGGCTGCCCTCTTCCGACCTCTAGACTCTAGACTCCAGAGTCTAAGATCTCTGAGCCCAAACTCCAGACTCTAGACCAAAAATAGCACGTCCCAGAAACTCGAAGGGAGCCCGCCGCGCGACAGTCGGTTGGCTTTGGATGCACTCAGCGGCCGCCGTGCCGCCCAGTCCGTCTGCGACTGCTGCCTCTTGTATCCGACTTTCTTCAGGATTTCAAGCTAAAGCTGGAGATGCCACTCTTTCTGTGGTCGTCAAGCCATTAAACACAAACCTGAACAAAAAGAAAGTATGCCACCCCCGAGTCTGTCCCTGCCCAGCAGCATCTGGAGCGGATTCCTCAGAGGTTCGAGAGGGGCAGGGCGCGCCATGGGGACGAGACTGCATCCCAACTCCAGGGCTTCAAAGTCCAACGGCTGTGCTCTCAGAGCAGCAGGGAGGGTCAGGGATAGGCTGCCCAGCAATTTCCGTTGAACTTGCATGCCTCTACACAAGAAAGCCCAAACTTGCAGCCTGAACCTAAAGTCGAGCCTTGGCAAATCCAAGTGGCCGCATCTTGCCAGACTCGAGCACCCGCACAAGTCCAACCCGGGCGGGCCTATAATTGCCCTCATAGCTCCTTAGCTTTCTGGGTTTAGGCGTTCGGGCTTGGGGGTGTGAAGGAGTTCCTTCAGCCATGGCGTAGGACATTGGTGGGAGCGTTCAAGGCAACAGACTCCCCAAAAGACCAACCGCAGGCTCCAAAACCTGAGTTCTGAACTCCGTGGCCGACTTAAGCCCTGAGTCTTCGAGACTCCCATGCCCCTTGTCGGGGGCAGTGTTGACAGCTGTGGTTTGTACATCTCGACGCAGAGGGTCTTTTGCTCGTGTGGACTTTCGTGCTATGATAGGTAATTAGGGCTCCATGCCACATGCTGTTTGTCAGTGGGCGCTGCGACTCCAACATAAACCTCACCCCAAAACCCGAAGGAATCATCACCAGCAAGGCTGCTTCCCCAATGCCGGGCATCCACAAAAGGCTGCTTGGGTGAAGAGTTCGGGGTAGTGGTACTGCCATCCCCCGTGCTTGTTTTTGCAAAGGATCCCAGGGAGCTCGGAGAATTCTCCCAGGGTCTTGTCCTGGGGGATACGTGGTGACAGGTCGTGGAAGCCTGAAGCATGGAGCGGCGACCACGTGGCGCCCATCTGTGCTGCCATGCCGGGCGCCATAGGCTAAGGGCCTTTGAGCTTTATGGTAGTTTGGGACTTTGGGCTGGCTGAAGTGCTCAAAAAAGCCTAACTTAAAGGCGAGTTGAGGCTTGTGACCTATGCTTTTGGCTTTTGGTCTTGCGGTTTAGGGACTTGGTGGCTGATACAAAAAATATCGGCCAGGGGGCCACGGGCTCGCACTGTTGAGCCAGAGCGACGCCCTTCGCATCAAATCGGATTCAAACGAGGTGATACTTATGCGAAAGCAGCACGCCAATAGCAAGTACAAACGACGGTTATAACTGGTAATAACCTGATAATACCTGGTCCCCTAAATATAGCTAGTCGACCATGATGTTGATGCTGACGCTGATGCGATGGTGCTGATGCTGATGCTGTGCTGCTGCTGCTGCTGTGTCCTATGTTGTTGCTGTTGGTGCTAGTGCCGCCGCTGCTGCTGTGGTCCCGCCTTTCCTTCGAACTCGGTTCTGGATAGCTTCATCATGTGCGGCCCGAGATGCTGCCCATGCTTTCGAATGAGAAGGTCCTACACTGGGCCTCCCCATCTGCCGTCCCCTGAAAACTCTAAAGCCGGCCTACGTCGCAATCCCTTGGCTCCTACGAACCACACAGCCTTGGAACTTGCAGCGACTTTTGTTAGAACGCATGGAACGACTCTTGACGCTCGTCACCCGGGATTCTTACTTTGCAGGTGAGAGCGCACATATGCAACAAGGATAGACAAGCAGAGCACTGACGCGCCCAGTACAGCTTGCCGCAGCCATCTTCGCGAACTCTTGTGGTTCGGTTCGGCGACTGGCGCAGCAGGTGTCGCAGCGCCTGAGGCCCAGGCTCAGGCTACTCTCAGGCTACCCGCCAGGCAGTCCTACACTTTCTAGAGCCCTAAGGCACCGAGGGGCTGAAGCCTTCTGAAGAAGCTCGAAACCAGGGCGACCACAAATATTATACTCGAGTATGGGATCCGATGTCGATATCGCCTTAGGAACCCGTAAGCCAACCTCCGAAGTGCCAATATTCAAAAACAGCTGGAGAGCTTTTCCCCTGGCTGCCTTCAGCAAATGGCAGCAACCATGGCGTGCCGCCGGGTGCCATAGTGCAGTTCACCTGTTTCACCCGGAGGCCAAGAGTTCTTCTCGGCTCCGGGAACATGAGTGAATCATGCTTACCATCATCATGATCATCGTCAGCATTATCACAGTCAGCATCACCATCACCTCGGAGCAGTAGTAGCAGTAGCAGTAGCAGTAGCAGCAGGAGCAGGAGCAGGAGCAGGAGCAGTAGCGGCAGCAGCAGCAGCAGCAGTAGCCGCAGCCGTCGCCGTCGGAGTAGGAGTAGCAGAAGGAGTAGTAGTAGTCGTCGTAGTCGTAGTCGTAGTCGTAGTCGTAGTCGTAGCCGTAGCCGTAGCCGTAGCCGTAGCCGTAGCCGTAGCCGTAGCCGCAGCCGCAGTCGCAGTCGTAGTCGCAAGTAGTAGTAGTAGTAGTAGCAGAAGTAGTAGTAGTAGTAGTAGTCGTCGTAGTAGTGGTAGTAGTAGTCGTCGTCGTAGTGGTAATAGTAGTAGTAGGAGTAGGAGTAGAAAGAGCAGCAGTGGGAGCAGGAGTAGCAGGAGCAGCAGGTGCAGGACGAGGAGCAGGAGCAGGAGTAGTAGTAGTAGTAGTAGTAGTAGTAGTAGTAGTAGTAGTAGCAGCTGTCTTCGTCGTCGTAGTCGTCGTCGTCCTCGTGGTCGTCGCTGTCCTCTGGTCATTGCTTTCCGGCTTTCCTCACGGTTGTCGCGATTGTCGTCGTAGTCGTCGTCGTCACCGTGGCAGAAGTACTGGGAGCCACACGAACCGCCGAGACGAGGAGGAATGCCGGAGCAGGAATAATAATGATCCGATTGCAGACTTTGCGGAATGACTACGACAATGAATTATGCATCCACCACCACGTCATCCATGATTATCGCCATACGTCTCCACCAACATCATGTGGATATCACTGACTATAATTTTGAGGGTCAAGTGAATCAAAAATCACGGTAGCAGGAACAAAAACAATGAGAAACATATCAGCAGTAGGAGGATTTGTAAAGGGAAATGTGGCGGTTGGTTCAATCGGAGAGGGATTTTCTTGAAGGAGGTGTACAGGCCTTGGGCTTGAGGGATTCGAGCTTTGCCTCGTCAATGCACTCAGGGTCTTGGCGTCCGTGGAACCGCAAAGTCTCGGCGTGTAAGGAATCCGAGAGTACGGAGAGTGTAAGCCTGCGAATCGAGGGTCAAGGCTGCAAGGACCCCAGCTGTAGCCCAGAGAAGACCATTCAAGGCTCGCCGAACCCCTCTTCGCAGTCTGCGTCACCGTGTCTGCAGCACGCTGGGACACCCCAAGCAGCGCATGCAAAGGGGGCAGCCTGGGCATACTTTCACGATGAGTACATATAGCTCAGATAAGGCTGCGGTGCTACACTACACAACTATACCATAGACACAACTGCTATCGCAATACAGTACCAGTACATTTGAATACCCAGTCATATCATCTTGTATCTCTGTAGCTGCAGCCATAAAGACAAGCAAGGTTCAGATCAAATAGGCTTGCTTTAGGGGATGTATCGCCCAATGGAACAACCGGCTTAGAGAAATCTAAGCAAAGAAACTACTACATGTTTTCGTTTGGTTCCAGATAATACACACACACACACACACACACACACTGGTAAGGCTTGCTTCGACCAAGCTTTTGAAATTCCTGTGGCAGTTTAAGCCCTGTGCCAATGCGAGCGAGTTCAGCGCCAACCCCAAACCTTAAACCCTGAACCCTTCGGCATCTCTTATCTGGCACCCTCAGGAATCCTACTACCTGTATGGTTTGAATGATCTGCCCCATTCTGCGCGCATTCGAATGCAGCGCGAGGAGCAAGCCACACAGCGAGAGGCCGCAGACCGAGAAGTACGAGTGAAGGAGATCCTTACTGCAGCGTCCCCTTTCGGATTCTACGCAACACGGCATCTGTAGCAGTCGTGGAACATGTGACTAGCTCGGGCTGAATGGGTCTATATGCGGGACCTGAGGAGTCAGGGCTCGGAAGTGTAGCAGTGGCAGGGCTCAAGGCCGTGGCCCGTGGCTAGGCCCTGCAAGTTGGATGAGAAAGGGGTCTGGTGTCCTACTAGCTCGAAGCCGGGTCTCGGGTCAGTTTTGCTGCTAGTAGAGGAAGGTGATGTCTTCAGGCTTGCTGGCATGCGGCATAAACAGGCTTGGACTTGAAAACCATGTTTATCCAGGTTTGAGGCTCATGAACTGTGGATTCTCAGCAATACATCGGTAAGGGGCTCGGGATTCGGGCGTCTTAGAGAAATAACAAGCGGAGGGTGTCCAACTGCCGGCTTCTGTGCGCAAACCTTCGCATAAAACTTGACTCGCAGACTTCAGACAAGCACCCATAAGCACCCCAACACCGACTGTCACCACACTGTAAACTATATGACCCAGACTTGCAAAAGCCCTTAGTCCAAGCACCTCAACACCTTCAGCAGGGTTGTGGTCCCCGTACAAATTGGTCTCATTTGAGGTTGCGAATTGCCAACGTGCGGGCTCCTAATGTCGATCGATCCATCAGCCTGACCCGGAACCTCTTGAACCTCAAGAGCAGCCAGGCGGCCGGGAAGGGCGCATCCGGAAACTTCTGAAAGCCACCTAAGCCTCGGAGCCGCCATAGTTTTGCCGTTTCGGGGTTGCGTGTTCAAGGGCTTAGGATCAAGCACGGGCTGTTATTCGAACAATGAAGAGCATCGGGTCATGTTTAGGTGTTTAAGCTTCTGCACACTTGCCGCCTGCTTGAGAAGGATCATAAAACCCAAACCTTTTTGGATGCAATGTCTGCCGCCCTCCAGCAAGCGATGCGCCTTTGTGTGTCCTTGAAGCTGTTGGGCAGCTTCTTTGAAGGTCTGCGGACGGCATAAAACAACATGAAGTTTCGGAAGAACCCATAACATCTGACACCTTTACCGGCAGATAGTCTGCGCTTTTGGAATGGACTTCGGCTGGAGGTCCTCAGCTATGATCGCTGTTCCCTCTAGCCTCTAACCTTGAGACAATTCCGCCGCCCAGTCAACACCCTCGAAAAGAACCCAGGCAGGGACAACGCAAGGAACCACCCCTGGCCCCAAGGATGTCTGGGTCAAGGAGCGTTGCGACTCGCATCGTTTCAGAAACCTCAGGGCTTTCACGCATAGTGCTCCGGAAGGGGCAAGGCAACGGATGAAGCCACGATTGCTCCAAATTGCACCGCTTCTCATCTTTACGGTGATGCACACGATCCACTTGCAGGCGTAGAGGGGCAAACCCTGAAGACTCATCCGTGCAACCCAGGCTCAACAACCTAACCCGATGCGCGAAACCTAAGCCTTGGACGGCTCCCAGCTTCAGCCCGAAAGCTGCAGGCAGTCGTCTTGCTGGAGGAAGCTGGCGCCCAAGAGTTGCATGGAGCCGCCCACCCAGAAGGAGTAGCAACCTCATGGGAAGGAGTGGAGAAAGCTATCACCTGTGTACTACGCCCGGCATTCTCTCCGAAACTCTCCGGAATCGAGCCCTTCTAAAGGGTCCGGGACCCGGGGCAGGCGATCTGCCGTCGAGAAGCTGTCAGGATCTTTTTCAATGCGCCCTTGGAATCCAGAGATCTGCCTTCGCACACACCTCGAGCTTAGCAAATAAATGGCCGAGTTGGGCTAATATCATGCTGGATAGTATAGCCGTTGTCATGAGTATGCGTGTTACTAGCATTTTTATTGCTGCTACTGCTGCGATTATTATAACTATTATTATCATTACTACTAATACTACTACTACTACTACTACTACTACTACTACTACTACTGCTACTACTACTACTACTGCTACTACTACTACTGCTACTACTACTACTACTACTACTACTACTACCACTACTAGCACTGCTACTGCTCCTGCTACTGCTACCACTTCGACGACGACGACTACTACTAGATGTACTTGTTGATGCCTCTAGCATGGGATCTGGTCCCGACGCCTAGAAGTGAGCAAACTGAACCCTGAAACTGGCAAGCATGAATCTGAAAACCTGCATCAGGCAATTTCATGCAAACCATGCGATCTTTCCCATGCATGAAGACATAAAGCCACTCTGCCGAATCCTCAAGCACAAACATGCACTGACGCAAACTTGAAGGTGGGCGTTCCTTTTCTCCGGTCGTTTCTTTGGATCTAAGTACGAGGCTCGGGTTCTTCTATGCAGTCTAAACCTTAGCAAAACACCACCGAAGCGGCTCCGAGTTCCTGGACATGCTGAAGGTTGAACCTTGTCCCATGAGAAGAGCAGCCCCAACAGCCAACAGAAATAGAGCTCTGAAAGAACCGCCCACCTGAAATCTTGGGACTTCAACCACTCGACTCTAGCCTCTTCTTGGACGTCCGGCTACAGGCATGAAAGCGACTTCACTACAGCATCTGAGGTGCCAGTCCACCAGGAGGTCCTGCTCCGAGCTACCCGAGCACCACACATCGACATTGCATAAACCTGAAGCCTGAAGCTCATCCGAAAAATCCACACACTCCGAACAACATCGGGACTATGTAGGGTGAGGCTTGAGGCGGCGATGGGTAACAACAATGCGATGATGACGAACACGATGCCAACGGCAATGGCGAGATGTTGCTGGTCATGCTGATGAAGAACTAAACCCTAAACCCCGGAGCATAAATACGAAGGTCATAATCAGTTGAAGATGATGGTTGTGTCGATGAAGATGAAGAAAATGGTGACATCGATAAAGACAGAAATTGAAGTGATGGGACGGGGATGATGATGGTGATGATGCTGGAAGGGATAGCAGGTACGGATTGGTTGCGAGTGTGAAGGTTTGACTCTCTGGAATCACAATATCCCACGGGTGCATCGCCCTCACAGTCTAAACCAAGCCAAACAGAATGCCATGCCAGAGTCGAAGGCCGGACATTCACATGTGATGCACACCAGCAAAAGCAGGTCCTTGCTGGGAAGGTCCGCAAGGCGCCCAAGCATCCGCAGGGCTGCCACCGCACAGTAGGTGCAGCCTGCTGTGTACAGAGTAGACCGCCCAAAACAATACAGTATGTAAGGGTGCCACAGACGCCATTCAGAGCAGGCTCGCAAAGAGAACAAGCGGTAAAACTTTGAAGATGCCCTTGGCGGATGAACTCGGGAAGGAGGAGCAGAAAGGACACCACGGCCGCAGTGGGCAAGGGGAATGCGTTTGGAGTGCCTTGAGATGCGACGGCCTTGTATTCTTTCGGGTCTGATCTTGGGATCTTGCTGAGCTCCCTGGCCACAAGTCAGGCTGAACCGCTAAGCTTTACTTATGCTAGGATGTTGCACACCATAAAGCTTGAAGTCAAGGTTGCCTGTTCAGCGAGGTGCTCCTATGCAGAAAACGTTGACAAGATCTACAGGCTTCCCAAGAGGCCTCCATGCGATTCGGCACCCGGGCCCATGCCAAAAGCACCGTCATAGGACTGGGAAGCATAGATAAACCGGGCCATCGCCTGCGTCGATATAGAGGCTTTCGGACAGGCAGCTGGGAATTTGGGCTTGGAAATCAAAGGGTTGAGGACAAACCTGGCCTGTTTGGTGCCTTCCTTGCATGTCCTTGCGAACTCACAGCCTGACAACCCGTGTGGCAAGTAAGATCAAGCAGTCGCTGCAAATATTACTTAAATAAAAACTCTCACATCAGGCTTCTTGGTCAAGCTCCCCCTTTTGCCGGTTCATGGTTTTCGCTTCTGTGAGTCATGGTCAGAACTCCTCATATTAGCAGCCTAATAGCCCTTTAATAAGTTGAGTAAGGACCCTATGTAGCTCCGACAAAATCCCCTGATAAGAGGTCTTCACCATGGCTCATGTGAGTTGCACACTGCCAAAACCCACAAATCCAATAAACCCCAACGCAGCCCTGGAACGCCAGAGATGGTCCTTGCGGCAAGGATCCCAGGAACAGAAGATGCCTGAGCTACGCCTGCTTTTTTTCTCACACGGACTGTTTGCGAAACTCTACCCATGTGCCGACGTGCTTGCCATGTGCTTCTGCGGGGAATTCCGCGTGGCAGACGAAGCCCATGCTGCTGTACAGGTTCTTGGCCCTCAAATCAGCGTCCAACACTAGTAGCTTGAGGGAGCGACCTTCGTACATCGCCCGTTGCCTGCAGCAAGCGTCGGGCAAGTCCACAACCTTGGCACGCTCGTGCCACCTTCAGATGCGAAATTTCCACGACTTCGCCATCCAATCGCATGTGGATGTAAGCGTGGAGATTCGGTCGGCCCGTGCAGACCGACTCAAACATCCCCAGGATGCGGCTTTGGCTATCCTGCCCCGCCAGAATCCGATTCAGCTGCACGTGGGCGAAGCGGGCGCTTGTTGGGATGCCTAGGAGCAGGTGCAGGTCCTCGCTGTCCAACTCGGCGTGAGCGGGTGAAAAATCAACAAAAAGCTTCCATCCGTAAACAACTCACTTCTCCCTGAGAACAAACAAGCCCCAACCCCTGATACCAAACATAGCAAATAAGAGAGCTTACACATTGGTGACCAGATTTTCTGTTGGGGGCCTGGGGGTGTTCATTATTAAAGGGAAGGGATTACTTACCTGTTAGTGGCTCCTAAGGATGAAAAAAACTTCATTTCATACGGGTTCCGTTTCTTAGGTGCCCTGAAAATCAAAGCCCTGCCAATTTGGGGGTCTATGTTAGGGCCCTTGATCTTTGGAATCTCTCTTATCTCTTCGACGAGGTTGAGGAAGTCCAAGATCCCTCTTTCTTTTGGTTTCAAAGCACACGTGGACGTACTGCATTCTGTGCTTCAGCTCCTTTCTAATCAACTGTCCGTAAATCTGGTCGTCTGGTCTCCTTAATCCGGTGTCTGCTATTGCCCTACCCCTTGTCGTGGCCGTGGTGATTCTACCCAATAACCCAGACCACAGTTCAGCCTCCAGATTGCAGTAACAGCTTTTAAGTTGGAACATAACCGACATAACCGTCCAACCCCAAAGCCGCTAAAGAAGGAACGCCAGCACAAATCATCCTACATCCATGCTGCAACCTTTTTGGAGTGGGCTGTAAGCAGCGGTCAAAAAACACATCGACATGAAGCTTCTACGAACCATGATTTCTGCAATCCCTCTTGTCTTGGGCCTACCAGAATGTAGGATCCTCATGTTTTCGTGGTCGTTGGGGCCCCAAGCTAATGGAGAGGAGATGATCCTTCAACCCGGACTTCGGGTTTTGGCTAGTCTCTTGCATTCCTTTTCGTTCTTTCGTGCGTGCTATGCATTTATTCCTTTCTTGTCCTACTGTGTGTCTTTCTGTCGTTCTTTACTTCAGTATTTCTGTCTTCCTGTCTTTATTTCTGTCTGTCTTCCATGCTTTCCTCCTGCTCTCTCTCTCTCTCTCTCTCTCTCTCTCCCTCTCTCTCTCTCTCTCTCTCTCTCTCGGTCTCTCTCTCGGTCTCTCTCTCTGTCTCTCTCTCGGTCTCTCTCTCGGTCTCTCTCTCGGTCTCTCTCTCGGTCTCTCTCTCTCTTGCTTGCACGCAGCCAGAGGTAGGTCCATGCCCACCCCGCGCACGAGTGCGCACTGGTTGTGGGACCGTGGTGAAAAGGTTTCCCCCTGTGGTACGAGGCACCGGCTTGCGCTGTTGGATACCCTTATTACTTCGAACACTACTTGACCCCCCGCCTGGCGCCTCGTCCTCGCTTGGGGTGCTCCGGGTCTGTGGCCCAAAAACTTTCAAGGCTCTGTCCGCCTTTACTCGTGGACCGTAGCACTACACAACGCAACGCTTGCACCACCTGAACACTAACTGCTTATCCCCCTGAGGCCCCGGCACGAAGAACTGTTCTACTTGCGTTGCTTCGGCATGCTATGCACCGGGAATGCTGGCTTCGGCACTTTAGCAAGGGTCCCCCATGCACTGAACCTAGTAGTCGTCCGAATGCCTGAATCCCACGTTGTCGTCATAAAACTCTCTCTCTCTCTCTCTCTCTCTCTCTCTCTCTGTACTCTGCCGGATAAATATCGAAGCTTTTTGATCTCAGGAAGATTTTGTTGATCCTGTAGAAACCTTTTTTAGCCCCTATCCTGGCCTCTGCCTTGATGAATTCTGCGTGGTCTGCTACAAACTCCTCTTGCAGCTCGCACAGGCGAGCCACGTAGCTGGGTGTCGGCTCCCAAACTGTGTACCGTAGGTTTGTAAACTGCTCTTCAAGCTCCCCACACGCTCTTCCAGCTTCTGAACTTGGAAACCTGCTGTAGCTGCCTTGTGCTCTGCCACCAAAGCGCTGCGACGCCAGAGATCCTGGTCGTTTGCGAGCTGGCTCTTGCTATTTCGATGGTGTTCCTTGAGCATAGCCACCTCCCGTTGCAACATTTCGTTCTGAAGCTCTGCAGCCGACAAGCGCCACCGAATGTTGGCCACCTCCTGCACCAGTTGTGCCACGACGTGGCCTATCTCGGGATTCTGCGGCGCTGGCAGGCCTGATTTCTTTTGCTTCTGTTGCGCTGCCACCTTCGGCTTTTTGGCGACCTTCACCTGGCTGTGATTTGCTGGGTGCGGCGCTGACTTTGCCATGGGACGCGTCAGGTATGGGCCCTTGGGGCTTGCTCTCAGTAGGCTTGCCTGCTGTAGCGCTTTTCATAGGGTTTTTTCTCGGGCTCTACACGATTTGCATGAAGTAGCTTGAGCCATCAAAAACCGTTTTCCGACATCTCAGAACTCTTTTCACCTCCAGATCCAGAGCCGAGTTTTTCCAAAGATCGGCGCTTGTGCCTCGACGTCAATGGCATGCCAGAGGTCTAAGATGTAGCCTCGGATTTGCAGTCTCAGAAGCTTGAGGGGTTCAGGGCTGGGCGTTCAGCAGTAAAAGAGCTGATGGCGGTCACCGACATCTGAAAGTACAGGGTGAGCGGTAGGTGCCCATGCAGACATAGCCGAGTAGCTCGTTACTGGTTGGGCATTCTCCATTCTTGTGGCGCATCACTCGACGCGACGATTGAAACCCTGGAGCTCTCAAACCTGATAAGGCTTCAGTGCACGTCGTCTTCCCGCCAAAACCCCCCGGGCAACCCGAACCGGATCGGTAAGGGTCGACTGGCTCGAGTGTGCAGTGCTGTCAGGAACCTTGCTGTCCTGACCCCAGAGTTCGACCCGTTTACGTCATCACGAGCCAAACACATCAAAAACCTCTCCACTTCCAGTTGTGCACAGGTGGCAAATCGTGGCCGCGCAGTAGACGAAGCGGATGTCACTCTCGCTGTCCAGGCTTGAAATGCAGTGTACGCAGCCTTCTTGGGAGTTCCAGTCTTAGCTTCGGGGTTACACATTTCCGATACGCATGCCATCTTTCCGTTAATTAGTTGCTTGCATAGTCCATCTCAGACCCCCTCGTTTTTTACACAGGACTTGCTCAGTGGTTGTTAAAGTGTTGTTGAGGCTCCAACTGCCTTACTATGGACACCAAACCTTACGGTATACGTAAATAAACTACGAAACACGAGGAGCGTTGCTTGTTACGCCCTCCGGCCTTTGCTTCGTGATCGTCTTTGCGAAACCAACCCATGGAAGCGCTATTAAAACTCCGAAGTCCTCAACAAACTTGTTCGTCCAAATCCGGGTGGCAGAAACTTCCGTCATCCAGCTGCCACTTCCGCAGTGAATGGCCAATCGAACTTCGCTTGACCTTTGCTGCACAGGTGACTTCAGGAGCTTCTGATGCTAGGGTTTTGGGCTCGTGAAGCGATCCCTGCTGTGAACTCCGAGCCCTCAGTCTGCAGGAACCTGAAGGTTTTTCCCAAAACCAGCCTGCAAAAACATTCAAACGCAAACCAACCGGCTCATAGACTAATCGTCCTGAGTCCCGAATCATGCGCTGGAACCCAAATTCGGCACTTCTTAGCCAGATATTTGCCGGGACACACGGCGGAGATCATCGCCAAGAATGATCCTCAAAGCTCAGACAGCAGACTTTTGCTCAGAGTCTGAGTGTGGCCTACTACGTGTTTAAACAGGGCATCTAGTTCGCCAGGTTTTGGCTTGAACCCCGAAGAATGTTCACAATGGCGATCCAACAGCCTGCTCCCTTCGAGGAAAAGAGGCTGGTAGCTCAGAATGCAGAGCAACAACCAACATCGCAAGTAAAAATGACAAGAGACTGTCTATGGAGCTGAGCGCTATGGTCTGCGATTGTGGTTGAACTTGAATCTCAGGGGTCAGGGGCAAAGGTGCCGAAGCCACAGGGGGCACAGGCATAAACGACACGAGCGAAATCAGCCAACCAAGCGCTATGCGAACCCGCCTGCACAGGCTCGAAGCAGTGATCTTCTTAGTTCTGAAAACCTGCCAGAGCCATGCCTTTGCTATCTTCACAGCCCAAGGCTCAGCATCACAAGTGCGACGTAGGTGTTGGCGATGTGTGGCTGGTTGTTACCTCATGGCTGTTGTTTTGAACGTTACTGGCCGGCCTTACATTGCCTTACATATGTTGAAAGGCCGTCACCCCGAAGTCCAAGGTGATAAAAAAAGCTACTTTCATTGCAGAGCGTCTGCCGGCAAGTAGATCACTTTAGGCACTTTAGGCCCTTTCATCCATTCCGGCCCCGAGCGCAAACCCTAAGTGACGAAAGGCCAAGCGACTTGGACCCAACATGGCGAAATCCGAAACAGCCTGTGGAGACATCAAACCAGGCGGCACTTGTCCGTCTCTGCACTTTGGAAATCCACACGGGGGCAACCATAGAAGCCGCCATGGTCCGGCAGCGGCGACTGGTAGGAATAGATATACCTGGAGCCGACATCAAACGACGCTACGCCCTAAAGGCTTGAACTTACTCTTCACCCCGACCAACGTCACGCCAGGCAGGGAATTTGCATTCCATTCCTTACTGATACAATGTAGAGAGCGGCTGCCAGCAACTACACCCAAGGACTCATGATAAGCACTCATGCTAACGCAGGTCAGTTACTTCACTCGATTCTACCATTCTATCTTCTGGCACAAAACAAGAGCTACGTTCAAGGCACGAATCGCAAGATTTTGAGGCCAGGGAGTTATGGAAACGGAGCGGCGATAGGACTATCTTGGTGTCCTGCTGCGTAGAACTCAAGGAGACTGCCACAGCTTAAAACTCGATTGTCAATTGCCATCCACGGGCACTCGATGGTCTGCTCCCGATCCAGCTCGTCCAGTTTTCCCAGTAAGTCCAGCCCAGAAACGCTGAAATAAAGCAGCGTCCTCGATGCACGCAATCCCGTTTTGGCACCCTTTTTCCAAGCAGATGCTTCACGGCACACGAAGATAGAACAACCTGCAAATGTGGTAGACCGAGGCCGGGGCAGTCGGTTGGTGTCCATGCTCTTGTACGGTTCTGGCAGCTTCCTGGATGATTACTTGAACACTGCATTTCCATGGCAAAGGCTCTTGTGAAGTCGTATAGCCTAAACCCTAAATGGAAGGCTCTCAAACAGGAGCAACGACCGCCAAACATGGTTCGGAGATCTCGCATCTATCTTAAGGCCTTAAGGGCTTGGGCTGGAGGAGATGGCATTGTTTCTCCATGCTGCTCATGATTCAAGCTCCCATTGTACCTCGAGGCAGTTGTGAATAAGAGCGTCGTCAAACAGTCATCATCGTCATCATCATCATGAATTAAGACGGGCATCATCACCGTGATCACGAATTATAGACTGTGTTCCAAATAATGACGACAATAGATATCTGCAATAGTACCACCAAGTAGGTTAATGAACAACCTTTAAGAGCAATATGTTCTATTTGCGCTGATGGTAAAGGCAACTGGCATCTCAGCACTGAACCGCCGGCCAGACTCTTCGCGTGCTGCTTGAAGTAAGCAACATGTTTCGCACAGTCGAAATCTTTCAGGGAGAGTCGGCTATCTGCAGCCATGGCAAATCACGGCCGCGACAACTTCTCACCAGATCATCATGCTATCATGGTCAGCGATGCAGCAGGTGGATCTTTTTTTATTAGGTGGCGTTAAGCTTACAGGCTGGTGGCAGCTATTCACCACAAATTGCTATGCAAGCTTGGCTGGACAAGAGTACCGCAGTCCTTTAATTGCCTCATTGCTTGTCTCAAAACTGTACCGAGACAAGGTCATGTCTCTTGGTGCTTGTACTGTAATGAGTTCCTACTGGTATCTGAGGAACATGTAGCTATCTCGGTGCAGACCGTCTCTTTCACAGCAGGAGCACGAACGCGGGAGCCAAAAAGCAAGATTTTCCTGGAGTTTCCCTTACTTCCGAAACCCTACCCGGTCTCAGAATCAACTTTGCTAGCTGCTTCTATGCTATCGACTTCTTTGGACATCGACATCCGATCTTCAGAGATCACGGAAGGGGATTCCTGAGCTGCCCGGGCCACACCCGATATCTAGCGTTGTTTAGTGTGTTCTAGCTTGCTTCTAGGTCTGCCAGCTTATCGTACTTTGTGTTGCTTTCTGCCGGGGCCCGACGCTGGGGGTGTCGGGTTTAGATCACAGACACCCAGCAGTAGTCCAGGGGCTCTTCTGTATCACCAGCACTTGAACACTGAATTGGTTTAGCTTGTTTCTAGGTTTCTCTAGATTTTGAAACTACCTGAAAACGGCTAGACTTTTCCTTCGGCTCTGAAGATGATGGCCACGAGCTGACCCTGAGGTGTTCCTGTGATCCTGCCGCTGCAAGCCTCAGGTCCCAAACATGTTAATGACTGTTCAAACCAGAGTGTGGCATGCTCAAGCATACAGCAGACTGCGATAAAATAAACCTCTTCGAGGCCCAAGGTTTCGGGCTTCAGGAATCGAGGCTCAGGGAAATTGACACATCCACCCATTTTTTAAAACTAGAGTGCGCGCGGTGGCAGGTCCGCCTAGAGCGAGAACCCTTGCGGCTTCCTTCGCATTCTGGCACCAGGCGTTCAAACCCGTAATCAAGGTGAGTTGCTATCATCTTGATTGGTGGGTTCTATGTCTCAGATACCAGGCTGCTAGCAGCAGTGATCTAGTTCACACTGTTGGGCGGATCCAGAGATCTAGCTTGGTTGTTGTAGCGGATCGTACTACTAAGCCCCAAGCTCAGAACCCTCAAAACATCCCGTAGCGCCTGCCTGTGCCTTTATAAGGCTTAGGTCACAGTGGGCTTGACGGCCTGCTGCCATTTCTCACTTCAAAATGCTGGGTGTGAGACCCAGAAAGTGTGAAACCTCAGACCTCAGCAGCAAGGCTGTGTGGCTTTCAGGGTTTAGGTTCACGGACTTTCTCTGGGCCAAGTCGCGATATGAAGACAGCACAAGGCTGGTTGGCTGCTAAGACATGGAAGCGCAGGTTTCGGGGACCGTGCTTCAAAAACCATCCATGTGCTGAGCTCTCCTTCGACCTCTTGCTCTGCACTGCAACGCCCCCCACCCCCGCACTCCCAACAGCCTCAGGTTTGAACCCGTATGAAGCAAGCCTTGCCAAGCAAACGTAGGAAGGTAGGCAAGTTCTTGTCGAGGCCAACTTACCGCATGACAGAATGCTCTGGGAGAAGGCCTCGACCCTCCGAAAATGGCCAAGCTCAGACAACCACACCGAACAGTGTCAGGGTCAAGAAAAGCCGGGGCTGACACCTGAGCTTCCTGCCGGAGAGAGCCAGGAACGTCTAAGGCTTAGGGCCTTTGGCTTTTGCAATGCCTCGTGGTTGCTCCGACTACAGTGACAAGCATGTGTCATGATATTACTTCGGACATTCCGACTTTTGTTGCAGGCTTATGTAGAATTGGGACACACGGGGCAGGAAGCTTCATGGGGCTTTTTGGGCTTCGAAAGTCGACGGGGGCAGGCCTCTGCAAGAATTGAAACTCAAGGATAGGTCTGATGCATGGACAAGCAAATCCAAAAGGCGAACACAAGGTCTTAGTCGAGCCTTGGTCACTCGCTTTTTTTTGCTGTGGGCTTCAAGCGACTGTCTCCATGACTCCATGAGTTGTGTCACGCGTGTGGTGAGGTGTGCAAGCTCAACACCCCAATCGGGTTTGTGTAAAGCTGGAAGCCACAATTACCTAAAGGAATCGGTGAACGCCCAATCCCAGAAATCGACCACAAGTCTTCTGTCATCAAAGACTTCGGAACTAAGCCCCACTTCGAAGGCCTCCAACAAGTTCGGATGTATCTGCGAGCCCCCCAAACACTGTTGGCTTTGGGTCGACCCACAACTTAGGCTCTAGAGCTTCAAATGTTGTTGGTCGTGTTGGGCTTGAGCTTTGAGGGCTTTAGAGTTTTTGGCATGTAGAACTTTGTAGCACGCTCCCAGGACCAAAAGAAGTCTTCAGCCCTTTAGGGTTTAAGGCAGGGCTTTGGGGCTTTAGAGCTGGGTTCTAAACCCTGGCTGCCGGCGGCTCCTTTAGCGGGTCTGCATATTCGGGCACAGCCTGACCGGCGAATGCTTCATCTTCGAGGACGCAAGCAAGGGTTCCGAGCTTCGGCTTTTGAACACACGAAACAAACGTGCTGCTTCTGAAGCTCGTTCATTCATGCGTTAGTTCGTCCATTCATTCATTCCCATTGATTCCATTCACTCCATTCAGTCCACTCTTTCCACTCATTTCATTCATTCCGCTCATTTCGTTCATTCATTCATGTCAGTCATTTCATTCGTATTTCATTCATGATTCATATTTCATTCATTCCATTCATCGCAGTCGTGTCATTTCTTCATTCATTCATTCATTCATTTCATTCATTTCATTCATTTCATTCATTTCATTTAATTCATTCATTTCATTCATTTCATTCATTCATTCATTTCATTCATTCATTCATTCCATCATTCATTCCATCATTTATTCATTCATTCATTCATTCCATTCCATTCATTCATTCATCCATCCATTCATTCATTCATTCATTGACTCATTGATTCATTCATTCATTCATTCATCCATTCATTCTTTCATTTCATTCATTCATTCATTCATCCATTCATTCCATTCATGCCATCATTCATTCATCCATTCATTCATTCATTCATTCATTCATTCTTTCATTTCATTTCATTCATTCATTCATTCATTCATTCATGCATTCATGCATACATATACATATCTATATATACATATGTATACATAATGCACACCTACACCTACACGCACACACAAACACAACTGTATACGCATATAAACACATGTATATAACAATGCAAACCTGTATCTGTGCTCCGCGCATACATACATACATACATACTTACTTACATACAGTATACATATGTATATATATATATATATACTACCGTAGGACGAAAGTTCGCCACATTGCCTGTAACTCAACATATGCAGCGCTGCCACCCCCTTTCCCCCCTAGACTCCTCACACACGATCCCAGAAGCTCTCCGCCGAGAACATTATAGTAGTATAACTTTATTCCGGGAAATTAACTACTCCGCCACGCTGGCCACGTAAAACGGACCTTGTTCCACTCCGCTTCTCCGCGGTACATTTTCATGTATTTTGATAATATCCTCCGTATGTCGACACCTTTGTCCCGGTGATGTATATTTATATATGTAGAACTGTAACATGTGCTTACATGACTGAACCACCCCTAGCTACAGTACCTACCAACCTACCTTCCTTCCTGACCGCCCATACGCGCACGTACATACGTACACACATACATACATTCACACGTACATTCACACAAACAGACATACACACACATGCATACATCCATACACACATACATACATACAAACGAACAGACACACCGACATACATACGTACTTGCATTCATCCATCCAGCCAGACGACAGACAGACATGAGTTGATCTATCTTCACTTTTACATGGTACCTATATATCTCTCACAAGATCTTGGCTCGACATCTTGTGGGCGAAGGTCTGGAAAGCCGACAACTCAAACTTCCAAAGCCCTGAAGTCAAGAGTGCACGTATGAAGCTTTGCAGCAGGGCTGGGCATCTCACTACAACACATTATATCGAAGACAAACGACCAACGACCAAACCAGAGATAGGTAAGGTAAAGAAAGTGAAGGTAGAAGTACAGGTGCGGCTGACGGCAAAAAGGAAAGGAAGGCATAAAGGTAAAGGTTAAGGCACAGGTCAAGGTACTAGTAAGGTGAGATTGGATACGGACAAGGCCCACGACAAGGGCAGGCCAAGTCAGATGATTCGGCGACCAGCGCCGTGAGGAGGAAACGAGGAACGAGCCGCCAAAGAGCGGGTGAAGGACAACCCCGACAACACAACAATGCCAAACGTGTGCACCTTGAGGAGAGGCCTGGGGGTTGTTCTAGACTCTAGCCTCTAGACCTTCTTCGGGCCCATGTTGCAGAAGCTGAAGTACCGTAGTTACTGGTCCCTGCCTCGATGGTGTTGGTAAACGAAGTCATCGCCTTCCAGAAGGAAGTATGTCTCAACTTCCCTCGTCAGGGTTCAGGGAGTTAGGCTTTTGGCTAAGCAGGAAGATGAAATCGAAGGAGTCGTCGAAACTGAAGTGCCGAATCGAAGCCGTAAAAAGTGAGGTTCGAAGGGGCGATCGAAGCCTGGAGCTTTTCGCAAGAAAGGCGCAGCTCGCACAGGTCACTCCTCACGACTTCTGGTTTCTAGGGTTTAGAGTTTGGGGGAGTTTAGGGTTGCGGCTTAAGGACATGGGATTCAGACTTGCGCTGTAGGCCTTTGGAGTTAGGATTGAGGGCTTGATTTCACTGGGTTTAGTGCAAGGCATTGGGAAGGCTTTATCTCGAGCTTGGAAAAAGAAGGGCCCAGTGGAGTTGGGCTCAGGTGCCTACCTCACGCTTCGTGCCAGTGCAAAAGGAGGGTGTCATACTGCTTCTCTCTCTCTCTCTCTCTCTCTCTCTCTCTCTTCACTTCACAGAGGCCCCCTTTCTTGGTGGAAGAGGCATTGGGGCATGG